TTCTTTGGGCATATACAATTCAGAGTGCAAACTGGCAACTAAATTAGGAGGCATATGCTAAAGCTTTAAACTAGTATGTGAAATGTGCCTGGACCAAAGCTGAACACAACTCAAACTTCTGATAGGGTTCAAAAACCTATCTTTGAATTTCATAGCTATAAGCTAGGTTCAGAAACGACAAATCAAAGTCCCATATCTCAAATGACTTCCCCAAAAATGTGCAGTGTTTAAATCTTAGATTCCACAGCTCAGACCTGCTTTTATTAAGACTAATTCTTCCCATGTTTAATCATTTGCCACAATCACTATTAGCCACTACAAGACATTTGACAATTAAGATTGTAAAACATGCTCTTATATTGTGCCTTTTCAGTTTGTTCTATGACACGAAAATATCTGTGTTTTTATGAGCAATGCAGTCACTATTAGGCACAATGAAATGCTGGACTGTGGGGGGTTTCTTGTTTCGTATGATTTTTTACCTTTTCATGTACAACAGTTGCATTGTTCTCGGAGCAGTGTGGTTGTGAACATCTCCATCAGTCCAATGGCAAGAAAATGTCTCCATCTCAGGTGATCTGCACTTAATGATCTGTGGTTCACCCAGAGGAACTAGAATGAAGAGCAGGAACAAAAAAATGAGACAAATGGGATAAAACATGTGAGACAAGAGAAGCATGGTGCTGAAATCCTCAGCTACAATTTAACAACAACTAACCTTTTCCTTCAGTTGTTTATATATACAATAATGTACTCACTGAAGTATAGCCAAAATAAAGACTTCTGTTGCAAACATGCCTTGAACTGTAATGTGTTCACCCTCCAAATCTGAATTCACATACCCATGTTGCATACAATATATATATCCCCAGTGGGATAAATCCAACATTTGGATCTGATACATGGAAACACTGGAATATGAAACACCAGCTTCACCGCTGGCTTTGTGGAGCCAGGCTTTTCTACTTAAATCCATGTCTAATAAGGTCATCTTGAAGTCAAAAAAAAAATATTTCCACATTATATGTATTATTACATGCACAGACAGAATTTGAACTGCAGTCCCTGCTGTGACTGCAACATAGTAGGGAAATATCCAAGCTAGCTTCAAAAGAGTTACCTCACCAGGTATTGGTAGCAATCTAGCCATGGCAAATGCAGTTTAGCATGGGATAACCCCCTAGGCTAGGGGCAGATGTTCAAAAAGCCTGAGTCTGAATTGATTCAATTTTTGCAAGTTAGTACAACCCGGCTCGGCTGAATCAGTTTGTAAGAGCACAGACATCCCAGAAATGCAGGCACATATCTGAAGTGGCTCAGGCTAGAAGCTGGGGGGCGGGGTGCGCTAAGGCAACTCTCCCTTCCCTTTCACATTGCTGAGCTCAGGGAGCCATGCCAAGACATTCTGATTACATTCTGATTCACACTTACACAATGGGGAACTCCCTACTTGAGAGCACGGAGGCAGAAAGAGATCTTGGAGTCATTATTGACTCCAAGATGAACATGGGCCGACAATGCGAGGTCATGGTTGGCAGGGCTAACCGGACCTTATCATGCATCCACAGGTGCATCTCGAGTAGAGCCAAGGAGGTGATCCTCCCCCTCTACGCGAC